TCAAACCCACCAGCCACTCCTCGGAAGGAAGGTTGGGCATTCCTACTTCCGTAGTGATACTGCCTCGGAAACCCAAGGAGGGGTCGCTGTGAGTCGGGTCAACTCCATGGCAAATAACAACAACAACAAATTCCTAGAGGTTAATTACCCTTCGGCAAGAAAAGTGCAAACTGAAATACATGTTCATGTATTTCTAATTCTTATTGTCAAGGTGATAAAGTTGAATAAATAACAAAGTGTCTCACTGTGCTTCAGGCCATGTGCTTGGCTTCAGATCTGAGTTGATTTCTGTTGTGTGGAGTTGAGCTAGAAATATCAGGAAGGAGCCTGGACCTCTCAGGGTGGCTCCGCTTCATAGTGGAAATCATGGCCTGGGGCCATTAGCTTTATGAGCATGGAAACTAGATCTTTTTCAGACATTGGATAGGACTGAAGTGTACTGACTCCATTAACCACACTTACAAAAGATTGACCCGGAAGATAGATACCAATTTCCTCATTTTCCATGAGAACTGTGACTGCCAAACAGTATGGGTATTTAAATTACTTCATGATGCATTTGAACTGAGGTGTTGGTTTAACTTGTCAGAACTATAGGTTCCCCAAAATCTCTATTTGTTTCTAGGCTATCAACTGGATTAGTTTAACCAATCACATCCATTACACTTTTAAAATAACTTGTAGTTACAAAGATAACATATGCTGCTAAAAATGTGAATAGTGCAAAAGCTGACACCCAACACCCTTTAATCCACACTCAATTTCCACAAGTAAAACTCTATTGGCTTCTGTTGTGTGTTCTTTCATCTTCTTATTCATAGACAAATATTTATACTTTTATAAAAATGAAATTATAAGTATACATGCAGTTCAGAAATGTTACCCTTTTATTTAGTATGTTATTTACTTATATTAAGTGAGGAATATATAGTTTATACTGATAAGACGCATACATCCCAAAGCATACCTCCACATGATGCCGAATAGGAATCATGAGGACAGCTGAAGTAGTTTGAAGGAATTGCCTATCTGATCAAAGTGCTGACACCAACCTATAACTTTACAAATAGTCTGATCTAAACTGTCTGTTTTAAAGTGCACAATTACAAATTCAAGCTTTTCCAGGACAGAATCATTTAAACCACAGATTTAAAAAAAAAAAAGGTTCAGAGTACTTTGGACACAGAATGTTTTACTTTTTTGTTATTTATATCATAATAACATTTAATTCACACAGAATTCCAAATATGGACAGAAGAAGCCAGACCAACCCTATGAATTCCTCCACCTGGGCTTATCTGAGCATCCAGCGGTCTCCTGTTAGGCCCTTCCTGGGCATGTACCTGGTCACTGTGGTGGCAAACTTGGTCATCATCCTGCGGATGGGCTTTAATCTGCACCTCCATACCCCCATGGCTCTTTTCTTGGCCCACATCTCTATTTCTGACAATGGTTTCATCTTTACAACAATCCTGAAGATGCTAGATAATATTGGCTCAGGAAGTCAACTGATTTCTTATAGTGGGTGCTTGACACAACTCTATTTCTTTTGCTTATTTGCAGATCTGGACAACTTCTTCCAGGCTGTGATGACACTTGATCACTATCTGACCATCAGCCATCTCCTCCTTTATGCCATGACTATGAACTCCCAACGTTGTATCCTGTTGGTGTGTGGGTCCTATGTGGTTACATTCTATATCCTAGTGCATACCCTCCAAATGACCAAGCTTTTCTTCTGTGACCCCAATATTATCCCCCAGTTCTTTTGTGATCTAGGTCCTCTCCTGGAGCTGGCTACCTCCAGAACTTATGTCAATGGCTTGGTGCTCAACTTTGTGTCAGGAACATTGCTCATTGGACCCTTTGTTTGCATCCTTCCATCTTACTTCTACATGATACTGACATCCTGAAAACTGAGTGACCAAAAAGTTAAGGAAAGGGCCTTCTCCAATTGCATTCCCCACCTCTCTGTGGTGTCTCTGTTGTACACAACACTTACTGGAGTCTAGTTATGTCCTTCAATTCCCTTCTCAGGTGGAAAGATAGTCTCCTCAATAATGTACAGAACAACCCAAATCACAATAAATAATAAATTTTAAATAATAATAATAATGTACAGAACAGTAACCCCTATGCTGAATCCCTTCATCTACAGCTTGAGAAACAGAGGTATGAAGGGAACACTGGGGACACTACTAGGAATAAAAATATTCTAACTCTCTTCTCAGGACTTTAGGTTCCTGATCCCAAGACTCAGACCTGAGAGTTGAAAATTGGTCTACTGAGAGCTCTGCCACTGTTGTTTCTTTTTTCTTATGTTTACATTTCAAAGCATGGGCTGACATCTGAGGACAGAGAGAGGACCTCTAACCTCTAATCATTTTTGTAAAGTTCCTGTGCTCTGAATAGTCCTCAATCCTACCCTCAAAATAGTTCTTGTTTCTTTTTGCTGGATGCCTAAAAAAAGAGTCTATGTTACATATCAGATGAAAATGCAAGTCTAAATTTTTGTTAGTTCAAGTTACAAAGAAACTAGGAAAGACATCTCTAACCCAAGAATATAAAATTCATTATGGCTGGTTGAATGAATTACAGAAGATCTGATACTTTACACTTAAGTAGTCATTCTCTATAGAAGAACAAGAAGGGGGCTTTAATTTAACTCCCAGGTTCTAGTAATGGCTTCGCCATCAATGAACTTTGCTACCTTGGATAATCGCTCAAAGTCTCTGACCCTTGATTTTCCCGTTTGTGTAACAAAGTGATTGTTGTTGTTATGTGCTGTCGAGTTGGACCTGACTCATAGCAACCCCTCCTTGGGTTTCCGAGACACTATCTGGTAGCATAGTGGCTAAAGCACTTGACTGCTAACCAGAAGGCTGGCGGTTCAAACCCACCAGCCATTCCTCGGAAGGAAGGTTGGGCAATCCTACTTCCGTAGTGATACTGCCTCGGAAACCCAAGGAGGGGTCACTATGAGTCGGGGCCGACTCCACGGCACATAACAACAACAACAACATCACTACAGAAGTAGATTGTCCAACCTTCCTTCCGAGGAGTGGCTGGTGGGTTTGAACCGCCAGCCTTCTGGTTAGCAGTCAAGTGCCTTAGGCACTGTGCTACCAGAGCTCCCAATAAAGTGATTGGATTATGTAAATCTAGGCCCTCTCATGCATACCCAAGTTATAATATTTAGTGTTATAGTGGCAATCAGTCAAGACTTGAACTCAGAAGTTATAAGTCAGGACTCTAACTCCACCACTTTCAGGTTGCACCGCTTGAGGCAACTTCCTTCTCTCTGAGTTTTGGTTTTCATACTTGTACAACTAGCATAACAACTATATCATAGGAGTACTCTGAGTAATAAATAATGTATGAACCCACTTGGATCACAGTAAGTGCTCAATAAATGTTTATTAAATCTAAATCTTCAGTTCTCTTATTTATCTTAATTAATCCTAAAGCTTTTCTTCTCTATTGAATGTGCTTGACATTCTGTTAGGTGCTGGAGCTGTCTGTGGAGAATAAAACATACCTTGTCCCGGACCTCATGGAGCTTATAGTCTAGTGTCTTTTACACTATACTGTAAGCTTCATGAAAGCAGGGATTCTGTCTTGTTCAGTACGGCATCACTTGAATCTAAAGTGTTTAATTGAATGGATGAATGAAGGTTTTGGAAATGAATGAACAAATGAGTGAATGAGTTCTGTTAGGAATGTAGCTTTTAAAAGTCTGAATTCAAAATTCTTACTACTCTGACATGTTGATTCCACTGCTTCCTTTAGAGTCTCATCTCATACAAAAGCATAGAGGTCATTATCATCATAGTATTTGCAGAAAGGCAATATAGTACACTATGGGGAAAGAATACATTGTTGGGGCATCTGGTTTTCAGCCCAATCACTTACTATATAAGAGATTTGCACACATTTGGCATAGTGCCTAAGGTATTTGACTGCTAACCAGGGGGCTGGCAGTTCAAACCCACCAGCCCCTCCTCAGAAGGAAGACTGGCCAATCTACTTCCATAGAGATACTGCCTCAGAAACCCAAGGAAGGGTCGCTATGAGTCAGATCTGACTCGACAGAGTGAGTTGGTTTCTTAACTTTAGCCTCAGTTTACTCTGTTATAATTTAGAATTTACTTAAACCCACATTACAGGATTGTGAGAATTAAATTGTGTACTACATTTTAAAACTACATAATATAGTTCCCATGCATACTAGGCAATGAGGAAATGGTATCTGGAGCTAAGGTTGAATTATCAAACATTTACTGATCATCAAGGAGTCATGGGTATATGAATTTAATCGGTAGGTTCCAACATATTGTCAATCTGCTAGTATGTAGTCACTTAATTTCTCTAAGCCTCGGTTTCCTGGTCTGAAAAATTGTGATTATATTACCAGAAACATACAGTTACTGTGAGCCTTAATGATATAAGTGCATTTGAGTATTTTAAACAGAATGCTTGGCACAGAGTAAGCCCCAGAAAATGTAACCTGTCATTATTGCCAGCGCGGCACTCAATGATGTCGGCACCCAGGGAGTTAATCAGATTTTGAGAGCAGACTGATGCGACAGCTGACTAGAAACACCCTTTCCCTTTCTAGGAAACCTAATGATTTGTGATCTCATAAAAAAAAAAAAAAAAAATCCAAGCTGAGTGCTAAGGATACAGTTGGAAATTTTGAGGAGGGAAAAAATTTAAAAGCAAAAAAACTATGAAAACTTGTCCCCCATAATTAGGAAAACAAAAAGTAAAACTATCCTAAAGACTACTTTCAGTGCCACCCATTGGATTGAGAGACAGTAAAAAGTTTGCAAACAGTACTTGCTGCTTAACTGGGTGGAAAAGGGCACTCTCCCATGCTCTTGAGGGAAATAAGCTGATACAAACTTTTTGGGGGACCGTTTGGTGGTAGCAATTGAAGTTAAAATGCACATATACTTTTATCTAGAATGTCAGTTCCTAGAGAAGTATAATCTATCTGTACAAAAGATGCCTGTAAAAAATATTCACAGTACATTTTTTTTTAATATAGTAAAAAATGGATGTAAGTGATATGAGTACAGAAATGTGTATGACTTGCGGTGCACCTAATATTGTGTGATAAACTTCAGAGATAATGAGGTAGATCAGATTGTGCCATAGGAAGTTCAAGGTGGCAGTAGACTCTCACTTTTCACTTAATACATGTTTTACTGATTTTTTTTAAAAAAATAAATGTGTATTACTTACAAAGGGAAATAAAACAGGAGGCTACATCTTTAAAGACCCTGGCAGGGATATCCTACACCTGCCTTGACCATATCTGAGTTTCTGTGGGCTTGCTTCTCAGAGTCAAACTTTGGAGCACAAGTTAGTGAACCCATTGTCCAGGCCAATCTCCCAGGTCCTGGCTATGCTGTCCTGGGACTAGCTGATTGTGCTGAACCACAGTAACGAATGTAACTGCCTCATGGGCTGCAGTCCCCAGAGAAGGCAGTGAGTTTTGGACAATGATACACTTGGGACTCTACGCCAGAGAAAACCACAGAATTCATTCAGAAACGTGATAAAACCTCAGTTCCCAGCACCTTCCCAGATATGCCCTCCTGCCCCTGACAAGTAGAAGTACCACCAAAAATCTGGCTACTCTACCCCCTTTAACCTGTCCCTGATGTCTCTCTTTCTTCTGAGCTGGGAAACTTCCTCTGTCTTCTCTGAGTGGACTATACAGTGCTGCTTTGAAAATAAGACATGACTATACTTGCTGTCTAAGTGTGGATGGAAACACCAAACACAAGCCATTCAAGTCCAGCCGGTAGTCCACATGAGGTAAGTATCAACACTCAGAGGGCTGCATGACCACATAGCAGTTTCTGGGCACCTTAGACAATTCCTAGGCAACCCCTATTCATGCTCTCAACAATTTTTGAAGAGTGCCATCGTTTTCAAATTTGATCTGATGTACAACATCATGGGTATTGTCAAGTTTGTCTCTAAGCCTCTTCCTTCCCTACACAGTGCCTCTACCCTACACCATCCTCAGATATGCTGAGTCTTCATACATCTCTGCTCTCCCCTTATTGTAATATAGCCACACACAAAAATTAGTTAGGAATGATTTACGTAGTCAAGAATATTCCCTTTAAAAGACATTTTTCCTGAGTCAAAGGAATGAAATTCCAGAAGGTGTCAATCAGTTGGGAAGCAGCATGAGGAATCAGGATGGGGTGCTAAGAAAGCATCACCTGGAGATGCTTGT